AATAAAAAAATTATGTATGATGAAAAACTTTATTTATACAAAAAATATTTATGAATTCAGCAGGCACCACTTGCCTTTACGCTTACCTAAGCCCAAAAGCTCTTGTAAAAAGTTAAACGCAGCTTTTTTTCATAGAAAACTATATTCTCATTGAATTATATAAAAAAAAAAAAAACACACACTTAGAATTGTACTTATAAATAATTTCTGCTTGTTGTAACAACCAACTGCAGCGCCGAAAATAGGCAGCATGCGATATAATCACACTTCCAAGCATTGTCCTTTAATCGCTTTGGCAGATGACCGTAAAGAGATTGGACATTAAATGCAAATAATCCTCCTCCACCAGTTGCACATAGGAGAGTGGCGTGTAGCTGGGCTCCTCAGGAGGAAAATATTGAATTTCCTCCAGCACTTCCACCTCATCATCGTCTTGAACATTAACAATTTCATCTCTGCTGGCGCTGCTCCGTTTAACCTCACTGCCCAACGATGTGGGATCGCCCTGACGCCGCAGCGGTGGACGTGGCAGCTGCGGTGTGGAAGACACCGCTGTTTGCTGCTGCTGCTGCTGCTGCTGCTGCTGCTGCGCGTGCCCACCAGCGCCAATCGGACTAATCACACGCGACATATCGAAGGCTGTGCCGGCGGGCGTCTGTTGGTGGTGCTGACGACTGTGCTCTTGTTGCAAATGCAAACGACGCACCACATTCACACGCAAATCGTTGGAGTGGCGACGTGCACCCGACTGCGTCGGTGACAGACGTGTTGCTGTTGTTGCTGAACTGCTTGCCGTTGCGCTGCCAGCAGGTGTACCGCTCAATTCCATAAACACCAAGCCATGCTTGCGGCGGTACCACATTTCGCGGTGCTCACGATGATCGATTAGCACCTTCTTGCGCACGAATTCGTGGAATGTCAAGAGTTCGGTGCTAATCTCACGTCGCACTATTTGTTTTTCGCGCGCCGGCAAGTAGGGATTTTTCAGCGCCAACATGCTTTGCGAGGCGGCCAGCATTAGCACATGCTCGAGTGCGAGCAGGCAGAGTTCACCATCCAGATTGGTGAGCAGCTCGTTAGGTGGGCAATTCGCTGAGGAAACGGATGTAATGGAGACAGATTTCGAGAATTGTCGCTGGGAGCGTGCCAGCGCGGTTGTACCGCTAGCTTGTGGCGTGTTGGCGCCATCCCTGCTGGTGGGTAATACGTTGAGCGGCACTTCGTGGAAGCCATGACCTTGCTGAAAGCGTAAAATGTGCATTTATTGTATTTGTAAGACTTTATATGCGTAAGGATATGGGCTTACCAGGTTGAGTACTTTCGTAAAAACACCAACAATGCTCAGTACTGTGCCAAATGTCAGCGTTATGGCGGTCTCGTTCAATTTGGGCGCGCCAAAATGTATTTCGAAAATCGGTTCCCATTTGCTGACCAAAAATTCGGGTGCGCATATCAAGTCCAGCAGCTTGGGACTGAAGCGTTGTAGGCATTGCACGCTCAGCGTGATGATTTCAATGAGACTAAATTTTAAAAATTATAATAATTTGTATATACCTACATACATACATACATATTTAAAAATATTTTTAACTAATTACTACTCACTTGTTGAAGGCGCTGATGACTTCGTCAGTGAAACCCGGTCGCTCAATATCTGATAGTATGTCCAATTGCAAGTTGCGTCCGGCTATGAGACATTTCAGATTCTTCGGTTGGTGAAACATTGAAATGGCATGACCCATGAGCACTTGTACAGCACGCTGTGGTTGAAAAGGAAGGCAATGTTAATGGAAATAAGAAATAACAAGAAAAACGTAAAACATAAAATTCGGATATACCGAAGCTATAATGTTCTTCAACAATACAAAATATTCCTTAGAAGATTTGCTTAATATATGTATTATTGTTGGAACGGTTATCTAGTCCCCGTTAGTATGCTAAGGTTCAGATTAGTTGCCATCAAGGTCATCCCACGGTGAGCCTAAGAAACGTGCTCATTCGAAGCGGTCGAACCAAAGGAAGAAGTTGTTCAGATATGTAGGGTTAGCTGGACATGCAAAGAGGTGGTTAGTATCATGCGGGGACTGTTTGCACGCTGGATATATGTTTGTTATGTCGGGGTCGATACTCTATAAGTAGGAGTTTAACCTGCTACAGTATCCAGAACGAAGCTGCGCAAGGATCACTCATGGCAACTCGAAGCTCGTCATCTGAGAAGGAGTCGGCGAAGGTATTTATGGCTCCACTGTGCATAGAATAGTTAGTTGCGTCCGATGTCTGATCGTCGTATTGTCTTATAACATTTACATAGTTGAGGAAGGTCCTCTTAATATTCTTAGGAGGCGGTTCCGCTTCAATGCAGGGATGATTTGAGGAGGAATTTATTATACAGCATAGCAGATATATAGCAGACCAAGATGCATCTCCTTATAAGTGCAGTGTTCTGACATTTCTGTAGCTTTCTCGTCTGCGTTTCACCATATTGGTGCGGCGTAGTTAAGGACCGGCCGGCCGATTACCTTCTATGTTGGCAACAACGCTTCTTTATCTTTTCCCCTTGTGCTGCCCGCTAGCGATTTGAGGATTTCGTTGCGGCTCTGTACTTTGGCAATAATCGCGTGAGGAGTGAAGGAGCACAGGCTGTCGAAAGTCATACCTAAAATCTTAGGGTTATCGACAGCCGGCTCTGGGTTATTGACAACCGGCTCCTTGACGCCATCGACTGCAATATTAAGTTCAAGTCCGTACTCCTCCATTTATTTTGTGAATATGGTTGAAATGGATTCAGAGGGGGAGAGTTTTAGTTGCCGTGCAGCGAGGAAGCGAGAGAAGTCAGAGAGTTAGCCGCTTACGTTTGAGCACACGCCATCGATTCCATTGCCCGACGACATTATCATGCAATAATCGACGAAAGAAATTCTCTCTGGTTATTGCGGAAGTTTCGAGATGAAAAAGTAAACAGTAACGGGGAGAGGACATCACCCTGAGGAACTTCCTTTTTAATTATTCTTAGTTTTGTGCTTTTAAATCGAAATAGTACGGATGATCGACGACCGCACAGGTAGTTCATAGTCCACCTCTTCAGTCCTGGAGGGACCGTATATTATTTGGTGTCTCAAGTAGCATTGTGTGATTGACTGCGTCAAAGGCTTTTGAGAAGTCCACCGCTACGAGGATCGTCCTTTCGCAGCGTGATTTCTGTTTAAGGCCATGAACTATCTGGGCGTTTATGACGCTAAGTGCTGTGATGAAGATGTGCATTTTTCGGAAGCAATGTTGGTGGTTTGCTAGGCTCAGGTGTGACGGTCGGGAGCAGCAAGGCCTCAAGTGCTTTCACTACTGGGGAGAGGAGAGTAATCTAACAATAGGACTCCTCTTTATTGGCAGGTTTCTCAGGTTTCAGTAGTGGGACCACTCTTCCGATTTTCCACACATCGGGTATGTGAAGAGTGGTCAGCTACAGGTTAGAGACCTTAGTGCAGTAGCTTACTCTCGTCGAGCCCAGATGGTTTAACATCAGCATGTTACTTCCATCTGGGCCAATGGATTTGTTCGATTTTGTCTGGTCGATTGTTCAGTTTGTATGGCAACTATTTGTTATAGTGGTCCGATTTGAAAAAGTTCTTTGGAGTTTGCATTATTCGCTTAGAAAGTAATTTAGCCCAAATTTCTTGAATATATCTCTTTTTTAGGGCGATATTTCAAAAACTTAGAGACTACTTCGCGTATATACTGACAGACAGAGAGACGTACATGACTACATCGACTCAGCTGACACTGATTATCTTTCATATCTACAGTTTATAGCGTGACCCTTGGGGTGTATAAACTTCTTGGTAAACTTAATATGCCCTGTTCAGGGTTACGCGCCTAATTATATGCAACGTTTTTGCAATCGCAGCTGAATTTAATGCTAAAAGCTCTACAACATAGCATACTTCTAGGATTCTGCGATCAAATAGAAATTAAAAACAAGTAAGGAAGGGCTAAGTTCGGGTGTCACCGAACATTTTATACTCTCGTATGATAAAGTGATAATCGAGATTTCATTATCCGTCATTTACATATTTTTTTATTTTGCTGTAAAATTAATTAGATTAGATCAATTTGTGTACTTTGAGTATTGAATTGTATCTTCATTTTTTATTTATTTTAATTGTATTGAAAAGCTATAGTCCGATCACGACAATTTTTCCACAAGGGATACCTCAGCTGTATTTGTGTAAAGTTTTATTCCGCTATCATCATTGGCTCCTAGTGTATATATTATACAGAGAAGGCATCAGATGGAATTCAAAATAGCGTTATATTGCAAGAAGGCGTAGTTGTGAACCGATTTCACCCATATTTCGCACATGTCATCAGGGTGTTAAGAAAATATTATGTACCGAATTTCATTGAAATCGGTCGAGTAGTTCATGAGATATGGTTTTTGGTCCATAAGTGGGCGACGCCAGGCCCATTTTCAAAGCCTACGTGCAGCTTCCTTCTGCCATTTCTTCCGTAAAATTTAGTGTTTCTGRCGTTTTTTSTTAGTCGGTTAACGCACTTTTAGTGATTTTCAACATAACCTTTGTATGGGAGGTGGGCGTGGTTATTATCCGATTTCTTCCATTTTTGAACTGTATATGGAAATGCCTGAATGAAACAACTCTGTAGAGTTTGGTTGACATAGCTATAGTAGTTTCCGAGATATGTACAAAAAACTTAGGAGGGGGCGGGGCCACGCCCACTTTTCCAAAAAACTTACGTCCAAATATGCCCCTCCCTAATGCGTTTATTTATGGCTTAGTTATGGCACTTTATAGGCTTTCGGTTTTCGCCATTTTATTGGCCGATTTTGCCCATCTTCGAACTTAACTTTCTTATGGAGAAGAGAAACACGTGCACCAAGTTTCATCAAGAAATCTTTGTTTTTACTCAAGTTACAGCTTGCACGGACGGACGGACGGACAGACATCCGGATTTCAACTCTACTCGTCATCGTGATCACTTTGGTATATATAACCCTATATCTGACTCTTTTAGTTTTAGGACTTACGAAACAAAGATTATGTGAACAAAACTATAATACTCTCTTTAGCAACTTTGTTGCGAGAGTACAAAAATTTTCGGCACCCAAGCAACCTAGCAATAGAAATTGCTTACTAAATTGTAAAAATCTCCTACTTAATACTAATGAAACAAAAGTTTCTGAAAAACCCAAAATTTAAGAGACCAAAATTCTACTTACCATCAAATTGAATAACGACTGCGAGTGTTCCAAACGCCACAGCGTCTCGAACTCCACCAAATTCGACACTAAAGTAACCGAACTCTTGATCAGCTCCATCGCTGCCGGTTCGAGAGTCTGCTTGGCCAACAGCAATGAGTCCACCAAATATACCTCATGAATGCCCACAAATTGCAAAGCGTGTTTCACAAAGTAATGCTTGTGTTTCTCGAACAAGATAGTGACCAAGGTAATGCCACGCGTATAGATGGGCCACCATTTCTCCACCGTCCAGCCATGCTCCTCTGTCTTCGTTTGACCGAGCACAGCGAAATTGGACTGCAACAGCTCCTTTGGTGGCAACAATTTCAGCCACAAATAGTCGCCGACATCGCAATGCAAGAATTCCGCCGAGCAATTGCCTTTCGCAAAGACAATAAGCACATCCAGCAGCTCGACTGAGAGCTTTTGCTTGCTATGCAGCTGTAGTATGGAGCTGGCGCAGCTCAGCAAGCGTTGGAATACTTTATTGACAATGAATGGCAAATCCCAGTTGCCGGGACCGGCATCGTGAAATATGCTCGCCACCGTTTTGAGTAGATTGAAACTCAATACGAGTGAGTTGGATGAAGTCTGCTGCAGATTCTCCAGCTCCTGCTTGGCTTGCTTCTCTACACGTGCGCTATTTTCCAAAGTTTGCAACTCCGAGCAAATAATGCTTACGACCGAGTAGAGGAAATTCAACGCGGCGTCCGAGTCATTCAGCAACTCAGCAGCCAGCAAGTCGGCGCATTTAATAGTAAAAGCGAGACACGCCTCTTTGGCGCGCAAATGCAAATCTTCATAGCATGAGGAGAGGCGACTGAGCAGCTTAATAACCTGTTTCAACATTTCCACATCCTCTTCGGGGCTGTCTGTGTACGAGAGTTTGAAGCTGAGCAACACAAAGAGATACAGTTCGCTGAGCACGATAAATGGACGCAAATCTTCGATGAATTCAGCGCGATCCACGAGCGTGACAAGCGTTTGTTCGGCCAGCTTCTTCAATTGTTTGGATGGCACTTCAACAAATTGCGGTTGCTTCTTCAGCAGTATTATTAGAAAACTCTTGAAAGCAGCCAGACGACACAGCCACTCGGGCACGTCTTCGGTAAACAGCTCTACAGCGCAATACGGATCTGCGGCGGGCGTTTTCGGCATGTCAAATACATAATTAAGCCACTTATTAAAATTCGACGCCTCGAAGAAGCGCGAAACAACTTGCTTTAATTCACTGTTACCATTAGGTGGCGTGGAGAATATTTCAATGGAGAGTATATTCAGCAGCTGCGTGTAGACACGCGCATTTTTGCCCAATGTGCTGAATAGCGGATTGCAAAGTTGTGTCCAAAATTTCGGACGTTTCGTGAGCTCTTCCACCAGACTCTGCATGCCATTCTTCCAGAGCGAATGGAAAATATTCATTATTTTACTCGGCAATGTATGTTCGACCATTTGCGAGTCCTTTGCCACAGCGTCTAGATAGTCTTCTAAGAAAGTTAAAATGCTGTCAGCGATTTGCACGCCAGCCTCCTTGCCCAAGAAACGCTTCTCTTGCGTGGCATTGACTTTGAAAAATGCCTCCGTCACGCCGGGCTGTTTTTCGATGCACGCCTCCACCAGCTCCAATATGGCCACCTTCAACGAATCGCTCTCCAATTCATCGGGTAAACGCTGTAGGAAGGTTAAACGTATTTGGTCTGGTTCCATATCGAGACACGCTAACAAAGACATATTAAATTCAAGCGCTATGCGTCGCAGCAGCCGACACGACAGTATTGGCAGCCAGCGATCGAAGATGTTGCTCATATAACTTGTTACCACCGGTATGATGCGCAACGTATCACGTTGCTTGGGCTGCGTGTAGATCAAGGCTTCGAGTGGTGACAAATCGCTGGTCTCTTGCGTGGCCGGTTTCAAGCGCAGCAATTGCATGAGTATGCGCATGGCTAAACGCACAAGCAGCACGACGCCATGTGACTGCTGTATCATCCAATTGGACTCCATTTCCATGGTGTGTTGTAGATAGGCATTGCCAAGCGCGACAAAACTGAGAAGAAAATTTAATTATTAAAAAAAAAAAAAAATTAAATTGAGGTTATGTTTTGCTTACCGCAATAATACCATGCCATTCTCGATATTCGACAAACTATGTATGCAGATGTCGCGCAAGAATTGCTTTTCCGTGTTGATTTTTTCATTCTTATCACCGAGGCTAGTGACCGTATCCAATATGTCGCATACGAAACCCATAATTTCGGTATAAATTTTGTGTCGCTCCGTTTGTGATTGAAAGCCCCAAGCATGCATGTGTGGGAATACTTCGCGCAGCAAAAATATTAAACCGGGTATCTCGATTTTGAAGAAGTTGTTGCGTTGCAGCTGTAGGTGTGTGAGAATATGTTAAGAAATTAAATACTAAAAAGGCAAAAACAAACATAATGCAACATTTATAAATAGAATTTCAAAAAAAAAAAATAAATAAAATATAAA